GGAGACGGTGATAGTTATGATGGATGACGACAACTAATTGTGATGGTGGCAGTCATGAGTGACAATGGTAATGGTGGTGGTGGAGTAATGGGGGGGGTAGGAGTGATGGTGGGACAGTGGTGGTAAGGTAGCGAGAGCAATGGTGTTGGTAGTGGGGATAATGATAGTGGTGGAGTAGTGGTAGGGTGGTGACAGTGGTGATGACGATGGTGGTGGTGGTGGTGGGGTTAGTGGTGATGGTAGTGAGGCGGTGGGGGTGGTGATGGTAGTGGTGGTGGTGGTGCAGCTCCAAACACTACTTTTTTTCTTTAAAATATTTCTGAGAAGTTATAAGTTCTAAATACACTTTTAAAAAATTACTCTCAAACACATTCTTAAGGATCAATTTTTTTTATTAAATTTGGGGTATTAATATTAATTGTCGGATTAACTTTTAAGTAAAATTTAAAAAAATCTCAACTATGAAAAATAAAAGTCATTCTATTTATTTTTAAAATTTAAATTATATTGTATTTTATTATATAGATTACTCTGAAACCGAAAACAAACATGCCCTAGAAGCAGTAGAAACTCTAATAGTGGGACTGAGTATTTCGAACCAATACAAAATTAGAAGTACATGCTCTAGACGGTGGNAGAAACTCTAATAGTGGGACTGAGTATTTCGAACCAATACAAAATTAGAAGTACATGCTCTAGACGGTGGTAGTGCATCCGCATCTAACGTGAAAATCTAAGCAAGCCATCGACTCTTGCTAATAGTTCTCTAACCATATTAGACCTTTTGGTATTTGTACAATCTAGTAAGAAGGAATGAGTATTTGTGCATACTTACCTAGTTTTGATATGAGAGATCTAAATGTACCAAGAATTAACTGTATTTGATTTTATCTAATACACATTCGAAAGACAAGATTTGGTATAAATTTTAGGGCGAATCATATTTTGTACTTTCAAAGATAAAATTTTTTCACTGCATCTACAATATATTAAAAGAGTTATAATGTGGCAAAAAGTTTAAGACCTCATTTTAAAGAAGGTCTCATAATTTATAGGTGTGAAATAATAGTACAAATAAAAAATTTAAATCTATGTCCAAACAAAAGATTTAGACTTAACTAAATTAGAACTATTAAAAGTCGGCACTTTAATTTTATAGTATTAAAAAAAAATTTATTATTTTTATGATTGCGTAAATTAAAGCTACTAAAAAGTTTAATTTTAACTCCCAAAAAAATTAAGTTTAAATTTACCATCANTAAAATATCATAATTTTTTTTTAAATAATAAAAATACTAACCGTAAATTAAAGCTACTAAAAAGTTTAATTTTAACTCCCAAAAAAATTAAGTTTAAATTTACCATCATAATTTTTCAATCATTCTTTCTCCCTTTGACCATTAAGTCCAAATATGGTAATAAAAACTTGAATATAAAAATTTAATTAATAATTTATATTTAAAAAAATTAAAAATTAAATTTATTATTAATATTAAAAATAAAAAGACCTCATTTATCGTTTTTGCTTTAGACTCTAAAATGTCTCGGGTCGCCCTTGTTTTCTGTTAACTTCTGTTATTTTTTGTGTCAAAAAATATCTCCATTGATATTGACGAAAAAAATAACATAATGTAACGAAATCTAATAGAATGATCACATTATAACACTTTTGATAATCAAATAGAAGTCAATAACGATTCTAGACGGATACAACTTTCCACTAAATCACATGCTCTTTAGCCATTGATGANTAACACTTTTGATAATCAAATAGAAGTCAATAACGATTCTAGACGGATACAACTTTCCACTAAATCACATGCTCTTTAGCCATTGATGAAATGTGGCCGAGTGGCATTGTTTACATTAATAGATTCATTGCCCTGCCTGCTAATTGACCCACGCTTCCTTTGTAACTAAGCAATTTTATTACCCGAAAGATAAAATAACAATTTGAAAAAAAAAATTTCTTTCACATTTTATAATTCAAAACCCACGTTTTTCAAATTCAGAGTCAATTTTCTTAAAATATTAATTATGAAAAAAAAACCTTAGAAAGTCATTTTCAGTTTGGTCCAGTCATTCTATACTTAACCCTAATTTTTTAAGGGTGAATTACACTTTATTCCCTAAAAGATTTAAGAATTCACACTTTGTATCATTGGATATTAAATTTTTCATATTACATTCTCAATGTATTAAAAATGTTTTAATGTGGTTGTTCCACTAATTTCTGTTACGTATTCCCTCGTATCAATGGGGTGGTGTTTAACAGAATAAGTAGCAGAAACTAAAAGAAGGGTTATATTACAATATTTTTAATACATTAAGGGTATAATAAGATAGATTTAATCTTTAGGATAAAAATAAAAAATCTTAAGACTTTTAGGGTATAAAGTAAAATTNATAAGATAGATTTAATCTTTAGGATAAAAATAAAAAATCTTAAGACTTTTAGGGTTTAAAGTAAAATTCCTCCTTTTTTAAATATATTTTTCCTTTTTATAAAATTGTGAAAATCAACTACAGAACATTATCTTCTNTTTAAATATATTTTTCCTTTTTATAAAATTGTGAAAATCAACTACAGAACATTATCTTCTTTTTATTTCCTTTTGAGAGAGATATAATCTTGAGGATAAAAATAAAAAAAATCTTAAATCTTTTAAGGTATAAAGTAATATTCCTCCTTTTTTAAATATATTTTTCTTTTTTATAAAATTGTCAAAATCAACCACAAAACATTATCGTCCTACTTATTTCCTTTTTGACTTATTATACAATGTTCTTGGACAGGAAAAATTGGTACTATGAAATCATCTAATTCGAAATCAACAATAACTCAATAACCATAAAGATTGACAAGTCTCATATATTAGTTTCGAAAATATTACTTTTCTGATAAGAGATCATTTTAATGCTCTACTATATGTCAACGCGACCCGACTACAAAGAGGCAAGTAGAGGATTCAAAACACAAGATTAGAGGGTGAGAACAATGAAGGTGACACAAATAAAATGTAAATCAATTAAAAATTATAATAAAATAGTCATCTTGCCTAAAGTTGATCTTAACATTGTTTAGACACTTCTAGTTCAAAACCAATTGATAATGAATGAAGAAAAATGCCACATTAGGTATTTTATTTTGTTTTGGTTTATGTAATATCACTTTTTTTTTTGTTAACGAGGAATCTCCCTAAGGTAAGGTCATTTTGGACTCATTCATGAGNAATTATAATAAAATAGTCATCTTGCCTAAAGTTGATCTTAACATTGTTTAGACACTTCTAGTTCAAAACCATTTGATAATGAATGAAGAAAAATGCCACATTAGGTATTTTATTTTGTTTTGTTTTATGTAATATCACTTTTTTTTTTGTTAACGAGGAATCTCCCTGAGGTAAGGTCATTTTGGACTCATTCATGCGAGAGTAAATTTCAAATACCTATAATCACTCGCAAATCACAAATATCAGTTAAGTTTGAAGATACCAACAAGAGTCAGACCCCTAATTTTCTTGTGGGAGTTCTTCTCAATATCACGTTATGAAGGACTTTTATTCAACATGTCACTCAACCTTCCTCTCCTAGGGTCAAAATAAAAATAGAGCCCATGAGATCAATCTGATTTTTTTTTTTTTGTCTTACTCGATTTTTATATATATTTAGAAAAAATATACATATTTTTTTTCATCTTGGCAAATACTTCCGATGCATAGTTATCTCCATTAGCTGCCTGGTCTATCACGTAATTGTCATAGATTGTACTTTTTTGCTACTTAAGTTCAGGTCCTTTTTATTTGAGTTGAATTTTTGTTCAATTATTTTTCGGTTATATTTGATGTCTAAAATATAAAGTAAATTGAAGTAGCTAATTATTAGAGAAGTTAACCATTATTGTAGTTTTCTTACCCGATTTTGTCTTTTTGCACACGTTCTTAAATTGAAATTACAAAGCTTCAATTCAATTCAATTCTAATTTAACAAAGCTATTCAACGATTATAGTTATCGATAAATTGTAATTTTAAAGATTCTATTAATAAAATTAATTTGGGTCACAAAAATTAAAAATTGGTTTATACCATAATAAAAATTAGCATGGGGGCAATATCACTCTTCTTTTTTTTTCCTTATTTATGACATAAACTTATGGCTATAAATAAATTATCCTCATAAATAATAGTTTCACATGATATTATAACAAAAATAAAACATGAGTAAATGCATTACTTTTGAGGTAAGCCCAGCCACATTTGTAACTCAATTTTGAAAAAAAAAAATAAAATTTACGTATCTTTTTCCAATAGCTATCAGAATCATCCAAATTAAACAAGTGTTTTTATCAGTAAGAGCAATAATCATCTATGTAATTACATCCACCATTTGGTTATTAAATATCAAGTTATTAATCTTTTCAAGTACACTAAGTGAAATACTTATACATTGAACTTTTTGAAAACTTAAAGAGGTAGCAAAAAAAATTTCTAAAAACATATGAGAGTCTATGATAAGTTTTCAAAATGTGAGGGGTCATGGCCCCTAGGCCTATACATAGTTCTATCATTGAATGTAATGTTACGGGAATTTAATTTAGAGACTTAATATAACGACTTAATTTATTGTAGTTATTATATTTATAGTGAGTCCTAACCAATGAAGTTCACTAAAAATTTAGGGTCTACAATGCATTAGGTTTTTAAAACAGATAGAGTTCTAGATGTAAAATTGAAATATGTGATTGGGTCGACTAGTTGATATCAAGATCTAATGTATTTAGCCAACTTGAGATGAGATTAAAATGATGATAATTTTTTGGTGATGTTGAATCATCTCATCAACCAAACCATATATTCTTTGACTCATAGCTACTCTGCAAACTTTGATCTGGTGCATATAATAATCACACGCATCGGTTGAACTCGGGTTTTGCATAGTCATGTGAATCAAATTATAACCTGAAAACTAACGTCTTGTCGGGTTGAAATGATCGAGAATATTATTTAGATGTAAAGTTGTGATGCTTACCAACTAGAGTGACCAGATCTTGAGTATTAAGACCTTTAGCAGCAAACTTCTGCTTTTGAACGTCAATGGAGTCGGTGAAAGCTGGCAAATTGTCAGTATCAGATGCCGAAGAAACTCGCCCGTCTCTACGTCCGGTAGGCACTAACCAAGTTGGCCCATTGGTCTGCATGAAGTAATCAAAATAAGCATACATGGTTGATAACTTCAATTACTAGTATAGTCAGCAACCGACAATATTGTACAATACGAGTTAGAGGTAATATTACTATTTATGTTAAAGTTTATAACCCTCATAATGCGGAAGCCACGTAAGCTATGCTAGAAGAGCACCTTTTTTATAAGTAACATTGTCATTATAGTGCCGTTGTAACAGTTGTAATATTACCAACTAATAATATACAAATAAATAAAGAAACAGTGTCACACAAGCCAATAACTATTCGTCTANAATATTACTATTTATGTTAAAGTTTATAACCCTCATAATGCGGAAGCCACGTAAGCTATGCATCTTCTCGTGGAAAAAATATTCATTGTAACAGTAATATCACGGCAACATTGTCACGTGATATTACCGACTAATAATATACAAATAAATAAGGAAACAGTGTCACACAAGCAAATAACTATTCGTCCANACTATTCGTCTATGTCTACAGACAACTACCCACCCTTTTTCCATTTAAATTATCCAAGTGTGATTCATTTTACTCATTTGATGTTTTATTATTGGTCAGTAATATCATGTTCTCAATGCTGACATGGTATCACTATTATATTTAATATTCTCTCTCTTTGTGTACCACCAAATAGTGATAGGTAGTATGGTAAAAGTGTTAAATAACTATTTATTCTAAAAGTTTTAACTATTAAAAATGATATAACTTAAACATTTATACATCAACATGTCTTCTCATGCGTAGCCNGTGTGATTCATTTTACTCATTTGATGTTTTATTATTGGTCAGTAATATCATGTTCTGACATGGTATCACTATTATATTTAATATTCTCTCTCTTTGTGTACCACCAAATAGTGATAGGTAGTGTGGTAAAAGTGTTAAACAACTATTTATTCTAAATGTTTCAACTATTAGAAATGATATAACTTAAACATTTATACATCAACATGTCTTCTCATGCGTAGGCTAGATTTTAGGCCTAATACGTGAAAACTCTTTTAATAATTAGAGTGGTGGTGAAATTCAAATAAAGGATCTCATACTCTGATACTCTGTTAAATAATTATCTATTTTAAAAAATTAAGCTATTGGAGAGGGCGTAACTTAAGTACTTTTTTTTAACAAAAGGTTATCCTTTGAAATCTAACGTCAACACTATGAGAACGTTTAAGAGATAGATTGCCGAGGCCCAATCATATGACTAGTAAAGAACGTATAAGGCATCTTATAAATGTAAGTTTAGAACCTTCAATGTTTAGTTCGTTTTAAAACCGGGNTTAAGTACTTTTTTTTTAACAAAAGGTTATCCTTTGAAATCTAACGTCAACACTATGAGAACGTTTAAGAGATAGATTGCCGAGGCCCAATCCTATGACTAGTAAAGAACGTATAAGGCATCTTATAAATGTAAGTTTAGAACCTTCAATGTTTAGTTCGTTTTAAAACCGAGCAGACATAGTCATAGGCAGATAATATTATACCATATGCATGTTTAATGTGTGATAATATCTGTGTGGGTGTGTGCAAGTAATTAAACACAATAATTACCAAAACCACGGCATCACGGGCAGCAAGAGCAAGAATATCAGCACAAGAGACGACTCCGGGGCATGCATTTTCAAGCTGGCTTTTGGCATCATCAATAACATCAAATCCTCTCAGCAGAAGATTAGGACCTGCTGATTTCTCTGTGGAAGAGCCATCAATGAGGATGGAACCATCGCAGCCGTGGACGAAGCAGTCGTGGAAATGCATTCTCAGCAACCCCGGCGCCACCGTTGGATTCGATTGGAAATGCTTTTTAACGGTGGCATGAACAATCGATTCAACCCGAGGACACGTACGCAAGTAGAACCCGACTCGGGTGCTTTGGCCTAATGCCATGGTGGTGGCGGCGGCAAGCAAGAGGAACANTCGCAGCCGTGGACGAAGCAGTCGTGGAAATGCATTCTCAGCAACCCCGGCGCCACTGTTGGATTCGATTGGAAATGCTTTTTAACGGTGGCATGAACAATCGATTCAACCCGAGGACACGTAAGCAAGTAGAACCCGACTCGGGTGCTTTGGCCTAATGCCATGGTGGTGGTGGCGGCAAGCAAGAGGAATATTAAAATGGACATTTTGCTTAGGCAAATCTTCATCAATGAGGAGGGGGGAGATAGCTAGAGAATAGAGACTGGTTTGAAAGGGACTTGAGAAGAGGTTTGTGATTCAATGTTTTGATGTGTTGATGCCTCAGTGAACTGCTTTGGTTACTTGATATCTCTTTGGGTTGGCAGAACAAAAGGTATGTCTATTCTCTATTTATAGGCATGCAAGATCTAAATGCGTTATAATTAAACTAATTTCGACATGACATGACTTACACAATTGAGAAGGAGATGCGACCCAACCCAACACATGAATTGTCTGTGTAAGACTAAGGTCAACTTACGTGTGTAAGACCAAGTAGTCAGCGGAGGCGGCTCAGAGAGAGAGAGAGAGCCAGTGGATAATGGGATGCAACTATATAGCAGCCTGTGTATTTGTCTTAAAATGGCTTTATTTGTTGCTTTGTTGGGTGTTTTGACGATGTTGGAAAGGAAAATACTATTTACATCTAAAAATTTGACATAATTTGTTAATTTAATGACGTAATTTTATTAAAATTATTGAATTAACACCAAGTTTCAATATTTAATAGAGCCAACAGTCAATTTAAAAATCATAGTAAATTAGGTCAATAAATTAAGTCCCAATAGTATTATTCGGTTGAAAATGACACTTGTCAACACTTCAGTTTCAAAAAATGTTTTGCATACTAAAATTTTTATCAAAAAATATTTTTACCAAATGAGTTGGCAGCTTCAGATCATTTTTGGACCCACCAAATGTTGATCAAAATATTTTTAATTGAATATGGAGTTGTCAACTCATTTGGTAAAAATATTTTTTAATAAAAGTTTTGATATGCATAACATTTCCCTTCTTTTTCACCTCCATGCATGATAATGCGGATCGTAGTTGGAAGAATTTCTTTTTAGAGGCACAGAAACAAGATGAATCAGGTAGTATTGATTTTAGGGTATTAACTAAAAAGATGCTATGCAAGTTTTTAAATATTAACGACTCAAGTTGATTCGATACTCAAACAAAGAACGAGGCGTAAATCCATGTCTGTGATTGAATAAAATTCGGGTTTAAGTTATGTCCGTGACAAATGAGTAATTGCGTATGTTAGAAATTTATGGTGTGACTATAAATTCAAATGGCACGTAGTTTGGATGTCGAGAAAGAACAAATTAATAAAAAATTGAAAGAAAGAAAAGAAATCCTCGAAAAGGCATTATATTTTAAAGATATAATGCATATTCAACCAAAATGATAACATAAACAAGCTGTAAACTCAGATATCTTGAGTTTGAATCTTTCAATCCTTTGGAATTAGATCATGAGGGATTTATCCCTCATAAATATTCTAGTTCTAACGTGAATAATTTGTCTTTGACCAGACCGGATAGGAGATTAATTAAAATACGTATAAACTGTCCCAAACACTCTTCGCCGTTCAAAGTTGGTTGAAATTTGATTCTTGTACATAGTTGGATGTATCTGGGGTAAAGTGGTCTGATTATCTCTTCTTTCTTCTTTCTTTTTTCTAGATAAAAGAAGAAAGTGGTGTTGTTTTGATCACGGTCTTCGCTCTCGATAAGTGATTTGGTCGATATGTATTAGTGGCAGGAGCGAATCCTTGGTTTGACCTATTGGAAAGGTATTGGTTCTGTCGTACAAAAGGTATTTTCTAAAATTGTAAGTTCTTTTAATTTATCAAAAAGAATAAAGTCGATGTTAGGTCATCTTTAACCTTGACTCAAGATTTGAGTACAAATTTTGATTTAATAAACAATCTCAAATTTAAAAAAATGTGAAATGTACCAATTAAATTTTTAAATGAGGATGAAATTTGATAATAAGAGATTTAAGTAAAATTTGAGTCTCTTTCAATTCGGTATAAATTGGAGTAAAAGACTAAAATTTATTTTTTGTTTATTTTTATTCAAATTTAAAAAATTTAGTTTATTTTTATCAAGATTTGAGTAAGAGTTAGAGATGTATCGACCTAAGCAATTTTATTCAGATAAAATAAAAATTTTTAAAAAATGTATTGCTTTCGCATTTTTGAATTCAAAACCCACATGTTTCAAATCCAGTGTAAATATTCTTAAATATTCATTATGAATATTTTCAGTTGGAGATGCAGCGAGTCATTTTCAGTTTGGTCCATTCATTCTATACTTCAGTTGTGATGCCACTATAAGGTAATCCAAATTTTTTATGGGTAAATTACACATTGTCCCTAAAAGATTTAAGAATTCATATTTCATATCTACAAATATTAAAATTTTCATATTACATTCTCAATGTATTAAAAGTGTTTTAATGTGNATTTAAGAATTCATATTTCATATCTACAAATATTAAAATTTTCATATTACATTCTCAATGTATTAAAAGTGTTTTAATGTGACTCTTTTGCTAGTTTTCATTACTTATCTCCCTCGTTATCAATGGGGTGGTGTTTCAACAGAATAAGTGACAAAAACTAACAGAAGAGTTATATTGCAATATTTTTAATATATTGAGAATATANTGACTCTTTTGCTAGTTTTCATTACTTATCTCCCTCGTTATCAATGGGGTGGTGTTCAACAGAATAAGTGACAAAAACTAACAGAAGAGTTATATTGTAATATTTTTAATATATTGAGAATACAATATAAAAAATTTAATCTTGTAGTTAAAAATAAAAAATCTTAAATCTTTTAGGGTATAAAATACAATTGCTCCTTTGTTAATATATTTTTCTTCTTTTTATAAAATTGTGGAAATCAACTCGAGAACTTTATCTTCCTATTTATTTCCTTTTGAACTATTATACAATGTTCTTTGGGGGAAGGACCAAAATATCACATAAAAAAAGAATCAGGAAAAATAGGTACTATGAAATCATCTAATTCAAAACCAACTGGAAGGGGTGAAAAATGGATTTACCTCTCACAAGAATAGATGAATTCGGGTTCTGTATCTTACCTTCTCTTTCTTGCAAAACGAACGAACTTCCTAGGACTGAAGTGTTTCGGTCGAAGACACTTCAATGCTTAAGTCAATACTTGTGTGTAAATAGTATGTATGCAGGGAGAATTTTGTGTACCTTTTACTCCGCATACTCGATCCTTTTTATAGCCTTTCTCCGTTATGGTTTCCCTGATTGACGATGCTAGGTGGCACACCTCTTATCAATCTGAAATTTTTGTTAAGGATTTATTGAAAAATCGACGCTCCTTCTGTTGACACTCTTCCTGAGTCCTTGATTGTAATTGTTCGTCATACCTAAATGCCTGGATTATTGGCATCCCCTTAGCTTAAAGTTGTTCCCACGTGGAGCTCGATTTCATTAAAACCAAGCTCTTGTTTTTCTTACTGAGCTCTAAACAGTTTGGCTCAGGATTGTGGAACGAGTGCCCATAGTTTAACTTGGCTATTACTTTACTGTTTCATCACGTGACATGTCTCATCATCCTCACGTGAGTATATTAAATGCTCATTGCACGTGAAATAATTTTAATAACCTTTCACTTGCCCCTAGGAAATGTGTGTAAGTCATTTTTTCATCTGACAATCGTTTCATGTTCCCAAGCTATCATTGCATGCATCCTTGAGACATGCACTTTGTTCTGACAGTGTGTCTTGCATTAAATGTTTGTCATTTGCGCTTCAATTGTTTTATCAGATCCACGCTTTTAAAAAAGGGGTGCAAACGCTCCTCCCTTCTTCTCTTGTACTTCTTCTTCTAGTTTTCACCCTACTATTTTAGGTTTTATCTTTCTAAAATGGCCCTTCTTACTTCTTCAGACATAACTGCTTTCAGAACTAAGTACCAAATTCCTGATGACGTTCATGTTCGTGTTGCCAGGATTGATAAGCCTCTGATTGGTACCAAAGAGAGCATCTTCATCCATACTCGAGCCATGACTGAAGGTGGGGTTCGATTCCCTCTTCATCATTTTCTTCTATGGGTGTTTTCATCACTGAAGCTATACTCCATCCAATGCTTTCCAAATTTCTTTAAAATTGTAATGGGTGTTGCTGCTCTTAACAAGTTACTGGACATAAGCCTGGGCCTCTAGGAAATCTTATTCTCCTGCATCATCAAGCCAGCTGGAGACAACTATAATATTGCAGTGAGGAAGAATGATCACTACTTGGTGACCCACCTCCCAGACTCGAACAAATGTCATGAAAATGACGTTTTTGTTTTTGGCAATTGGGAGTATGTTGCTGGTGAAACTCTTTCTTATCGATACGCTTATGAAGAAGGCACAGCAGGTAACTAACGATATGTTTCTTTTTTTTTCTTTTTACAACCCTTTTCTTTTATACTTATTCTTCCTCTTCTTGTAGGTGAAACTATGAAGAAAAGATCCCAAAACGATCGATAAAGATTGAAGAGTTGAAGAAGGTGTGGAGTTTCAATGAATCCCACTTCTATCGAGGAACCCATACCTTACTCAAGTATACTCCAACCTACATGTCATTTATCGGTGTTCCTCCTTGTCCCAACGCCACTCTGGTCGACGACTGTCAAGCTGCCCAAATTGCTCGGGATCAAACTCCTTGCTCTCACAAGAAAGTCGAAACTGGCCCTTCTGGAAGGAACATGCCAGTGAGGAATTTTCTCGACTTTCTCTCTTCTCCAACTGAAACGCCCTTTGCTTTAGCTCAAGATTCTGTCGAACCTGAAGGACCTACTTCGCTAGACCTTAGCAAGGCGGAGTAGGCAGTACACTCGAAGGAGCCCATGGATGATTCGGTTAGGGCTTCAAAGGATGTCAACCTTGAGCCTT